AGTTGAAGTTATTTTTAAAAAAATATATATAAAAAAAATATTTTTTTTTTTTATATAGAAAAATTAAAAATTTATAATTTGTTTGATATGCAAAAAATAAAATTTTTATAGTTCCTTTTATTTTAATTACAATTGTAATTTAAATTGTTAAAAAAAAAAATAATTTTAGGCTTTTTGAAAAAAAAAAAATATATATATAATATATATGTTTTTTTGTTTTTTTTTTTATATTTTTTTTTATTTGAAAAATATAAATTTTATTTTGATACATAATTAAATAACAATGGCAAAAAAATCAAAAAAGAGTGCGGGTGATAATATCAACGCAAAATTGCAACTTGTTATGAAATCAGGGAAATATCAATTTGGAAGAAAATCATGTTTAAAAGCTTTAAGAACAGGAAAAGGTTTTTAAATAAATATATATAAAACTAATTCTATATATATATATATATATATATTGTCGTACTTTAACTAATAAATATCTTTCATAAAAAATATTTTATTCATTATAAGAATAGAATAGAAAAAAAAAAAAAAAAAATGTAATTTTCTCGAATAGTTTTATCTTTTACATAATATGAATACAAAATTTTATATTTATATACATATTTATATATAATTTATTGTTTTTAGGAAAATTAGTAATTGTTAGTAGTAATTGCCCACCTATTCAGAGAAGTGTAATTGAATATTATGCTATGCTTTCAAAATGTGGTGTTCATGATTATCATGGAGACAATAATGATTTAGGAACTGCTTGTGGTAAATTATTTAGAATTAGTTGTTTAGTTATAACAGATGTAGGTGATTCAGATATAATTAAAACAAATGAATAAAATTTTACAAAAAAAAAAAAAGAAAAAAATTAAAATTTCCTTTTTTTATTATGATAAGAATTCTGTAAAAAATATATATACATTTACTATCTATACCTACTCTTTTTTTTTTTTTTTTTTTTTTTTAATATATATATATATATATGAAATAATTCTTTGAAATACATTTTTATCTTTTTGTTTTTCATTTTTATTTTAATCATAAAAAAAGAAAAAAAAAAAAAAAAATTTATATATATATATATGTTCTATAACATCGTAAGGAAATGATTAGAAAACTTCCATCTTTGCAAGAGCATATAAAAATAATTTTAAAATGTCTTATTAAAAAATGAAATAATATGATAATTCGTTTAATAAAAATTGTTATGATTAAAAAGAAAAAGTTTTTTTATTGTGTAAAAAAAAAAAAAAAAAAAAAAAAAAAAAATATATATATATTCTTCTGACATCAACAGGTAGAAATTTCTAAATTTTTCAATTACATAAAATATCATCCATATTAACTTTTTATTTTTTTTATATACACACCATTGTATTAACATATATGAATTTATGAGTAAACATATATTTAATGAAAATTTTATATCAATAACCTTATAAAACAATAAAGGGATTTATTTTAAAAAATACTCTTAAAAAAAAAAAAAAAACAAAAATAATATTATAAATATATTATCTTAATCTCCTATTTCGGACTCCACATACCTAAACGAGTACCAAATAAAACTTTTAAATATTTTTGTCTGTTTATTTTTATTTTTTCTTCAACTTTTTTTAATATTTCATTTGTTATTAATATTAATAAATTGAATATAATCATTAAGATAATTAATGTTGTATCAGGGTACTATTACAAAGAAAAAAAAAAATATATATATATATATATATATATTTTATATTTATATGTTATATATATATTTATATTTTATATAAATATAGTTTAAATAAAAAATACCTGCTTTATATAATATGGAGGTAGCATAGTTATACGAACTACAACATTTATAAAACTTAGAATAAGAAAAGCAAATAAGCACAAAAAATAAGTTTTAGAATTTTTTATACAGGACAATTTAAACACTGATTCATATCTAAAGTAAACGTATATATATATATATATATATATATATATAATTTAATTTTAAAAGTAACTTTTTTATTATTTTTATTTCTACTAACCTATCACTATAAGACAAAGATGATACAAAAAAAAAAAGAGAAAAATAAAAAAAAAAAAAAATTTGTGACTGTTTAATCATTACTTCAGCTATATTACGTTTATTCAAATTTAATTTTTTATGAAATATATAAATTAACATGTGGCATTTATAAAAAGATCCTATTAATAAAATATAGTAAAAAAAAAAAAAAAAAAAAAAATTAATAATATTATATATTTATATAGTTCACAATTATATATATTCACATAAATTATATAATATATATAAATTATTTCCTAAATTTTTTTTTTTTTTTACTTAAAAACACATTCTGTGAACATTGATAAATTAAGTCATCTATGAAATTTTTTCCAAAATCATTACTTAATTTTTGTTTAATTAATTCGTTTTCTATTCTATATTTTTTGATAAAATTTATATTGATCAAATGCAGATAATATAAAGATAAAATACTGGAATATATTAGCATAGGAATCCATTTAATTAAAAAAAAAATCTAGACATAAAATAAAAATATAGGAATTTATATAATTTTTCGTGTATTATTCACGTTATATTTTTTTAAAATAGAAATGATAAAAAAATGTTATGAAAAAAATATGATGAAAAACTTGTATATCATATTTTTAAATATAAATATACATATATAATTATCTATTAACATATTATTCTTACTAATTTTTTGATTAAAAATTCTTTCGTAATAACTTTGTCTGGAATATCATTCATTATAGATGAGTTATTGTTATTATTTAAGAGACATACTGATAATAGAGGTATTATTAAGAAAATAAATAATAAATAATCTACCACCTAAAAATTTATTATCACATATACATAATATTAGTATACTTATTTTTATATATTTTGTTTATAAAGATACCGAGATAAAAGGTGGCAAACAAAAAACTAAAATTATAAATACTAAAAAAGATAAATAAGAATAATAAAAGTAAAAATAAAATATCATTAATGATACGTTTTTTTTGTAAATTCTTGAGCTTTTTAATAATTTATAAACTAATTCCATTGTATTTTGAGATAAATCTAAAAAAAAATATAAATATATATAGATATATGTTATCTATAGTGTTCTTAATATTCTCTTAATTTTTATTTTATTTATTTTTTTCTCTCTATTTAATAAATACCTAAATTATTTTTTTCAATAATTAAGTTACAAGGAAAACTATTTATAAAAGAAGAATACAACAATAAAGGATTTTTTTTTGATGAAAAATCTTCAAAAGGATTACTTTTCTCTTTTTTTCCATAACAGTCTCTATAATTAAAAAAGAATTATTAAAATATATTTAAAATGTAAAAAATAGAGAATAAAATAATATATTTTGTTATTATACTTGCAAATATTATTAAAAGGTAATAATATTGAGATTGAATAATCACATAAATTATATATATCAAAGTTACAACAATTCAAGCTATTACCAACACATGTTATAATTTCATTATTTTTCTAATAAAAAAATATATATATATATATGTATACATAAATATATATATTTAAAAAATAATTTTTGTTATTTTAAAATTTTTAAATTTCTTTTCTATTAATACGAGTAAAATTTTTATCATTTCAGCTGTATTAAATTTATTACAACCAGAATATAATGAAACGCGTAATGGAATATCATCTACCTAATTAATGTAAAAAATAATATTATATTCATATTAATAAATTTAAAATGAATATATATATATATATATATAAAATATAAATATCTGATTATATAAATACTATTACACTTATTTAAAAAATTTTTTTTACCTCTTCTATGTGTCTTTTTATGTTATTTATTCCACTAGGAATAACGACTTTCCCATCTCTATTTATAAAACTAGGTCTAAATAAATCAAAAAAAAAAAAAAAAAGAAATACTTAATATGAAAATTATGATCCTTAATATAGTTATTTTTTAAACATTTCCTAACTTTTCATTAAAACTTAAAGAAATAGAAGTATTCCAGTTTGTCTCCATACCTAATAGATTTGCAATGTTTCTTGTATTAATTTCATCACTTTTACTAAAATATACAAATCTAATCCCAGCCTATGAAAAAAAATTATTTTTTTTTTTTTTTTTAAAACAAATATAATATCTCATATTTCTTATATATATAATTTTCTTCTTTTATAGAAGTTACAAAATAACCTCATAAAAATCATTTATTCTTGATTGAATTTCATTGTTAGTTAGAAGTTTGACTGCTGAATTTCCTGAAAAGAATAAAATTAGTAAATAGTAATATATTGTACTTTATATATTATTTTATTTTTTTAAAAAATGTTTTATCTTATTTTTATTTCTTTAAAATTTTAATTTTTTTTAACCAATAAATATAGTAGTTGATAATAAGTGAGAAAGAAAATTTTCATTTTCTTTTAAAGGGAAAGATTCTTCATTATAAAAATTTTTTATATTATAAACTTTTTTTTTGCTTATTGTTACTATATAAATGTTTTTGAGAAAATTTTGTTTTAAATATTTAACTTCATCACAACTTAGAGGACGATATGCGAAACATATACTTTCTATACCTAAAGTAATGAAAAGAAATAGGAATATTTAAAAATAAAATATATAAAGAATTAATATATTCAGAAAGATAAATTATGCATTCTATCTTTTTTTTTTTTTTTTATTTCCATAAAATATTAAAAAATAAGAAATATAACCTGATGAAATCCATTGCATATTTAATATTCTTAATTCTTTTTTTTTTCTTCTTTTTAATTTCTTTATTGTTTTACCATCGTAATAAAACATACATTTACTAACTAAAGCTTCTAGCTGACCCTAACAGAAAAAAAAAAAAAAAAAAAAAAAAATTAATAATTTTTT